TGCTGAACCATCTGCACCTCAGCCACCACAGTTCAAAGCCCAGAGTCTCAGCTGAGATGAGCACTGAAGGCAATTCAGAGCTAAACCTGGAGCTATGAGCTGGAGTGACCAGGGAATCACAGAATCACAGAGCGTTAGGGATTGGAAGGGACCTCAAAAGCTCATCCAGTCCAATCCCCCTGCCGGAGCAGGAACACCCAGATGAGGTTACACAGGAAGGCATCCAGGCGGGTTTTGAATGTCTGCAGAGAAGGAGACTCCACAACCTCTCTGGGCAGCCTGGTCCAGTGCTCTGTCACCCTCACTGAGAAGAAGTTTCTTCTCAAATTTCAGTGGAACCTCCTGTGTTCCAGTTTGTGTCCGTTACCCCTTGTCCTGTCATTGTTTGTCACTGAGAAGAGCCTGGCTCCATCCTCGTGACACTCACCCTTCATATGTTTATAAACATTAATGAGAGCCAGGGAGAAACAATGCTCGCTCTGTGGGCATTGCTGAGCAGGACTCATTTTCAGTTGGGTTGACAGCTGGGAATGATAATGCCTTGACCCACTACAGCAAGGTGTCAGAGGTCCTGTGTCAAAATTCCTGTTGTGTGTAAGAGGATGGGATGCACTCTTCCTTTCTGGCTGTGGGAAGATATGTGGCTTGAGTCACACGATGGGCAGTGGTTGTGCTGGTAGCAGCAGGGCTGCCCTAGGAATCAAGAACATTTGCAACATGTAGTTTAGAGCAACTCTTCTGCCCCTACTACTTTCCTAGTTGTACAGGGACTTGCATTGTTTTTCTGGGCTGGTATTTTCTTTTTTCTCCTTTACCTTGTGTTAACTGTTGTGCTTGCATCTATTTACATGCAAAGTGTTTGCATGCGATTGAAAAGTGCTTCAGAGAAAGGCAGCTATCTTAGTGATAGTCCAGAAATAATGGACTTGGAGGTCTGACTTAGACCTTGAGTCTCGTAGTTCTCCCTCTTGGTCTTAGCGGTGGAGCTGACAGCAATGCACAGGAGGAGGTTTCCTCTTTCTCCTCCTTTTGTGCACAGTGTTTCAACACACAAGGGGAACACAGAGAAGTGTGCACAAATGCACACAGAGCTTTAAGCCCACTCAGAGTGTCCTTAAAGAGTAGTGACTGCGTGACATCTATGGAATTTTCGTGAGAGAGCTTATGTCGAAATTTTTTAACACTTGGTATTCCAGCCGTGTCACTACCTACTCTAATTCTTGTTCTCTCCTTTAACAGATATTTGTATAAACTGCGAGATCTTCATTTAGACTGTGAGAATTACACGGAAGCAGCATATACCCTTCTACTCCATACGTGGCTCTTGAAGGTTAGATTTTCTGAACTCAATATATAAATGAGCTTTTGCAATTTTCAGATGTATAAATTAAAATGTGATTGTTTGAATCTCTGATTTACTGCATATTAGTTATTTTCCATAAGTATATTCAAGTTTCGAGTTAAAAAGAAAGCCGTAGGTCATACAAAATTAACAACAGTTGTTGAAATGTTATTTTCGGTAGCTGTTAAACGCCACATATTGGTAAAACTAAATATTGTAGCAAAAAATGGTTTTTTTATTATAGTGAGAATATTATGTACAAATTCTGAAGCCATTTAACTTCTCTGCGGTTTCATTTTGCTAATTTCTTACTATCCCAAACATAACTGATGAAAATTAAACACAATTTTTTCCAGCTCTCACAGGGGGATATCTGACTTTTTATTTTAAATACTGTGGATCACTCTACCAAATTATGATTGCTTTATTTTCTGTTTGGTAATTATTTTTTGCTGCAACTGATATTTATTCTTAATGCAGTTGACCTTATCAATAGAAATGGTCAGTAAGGTACATTTCCATTTCAAGGGAAAATTCAGAATTTATGTGTTCTCCAGCAAGAAGATGAGATTTCTTATGGAATTTCTTTTAATGCAGAATCATACAAATTTGGCTTTTCACAGTGTTGTTTTACTTAAATTTAATTTTGACTTTTCTGATCATGCAAAAATATGAGGTACTGGCAGAGATAATATTATGTGCAAATATTTTAATACAAAAAAAGCAAAGGCAAATCAGTCAAGATGGTACCACTGAAGTAAAATGAACTTATTTCTCACATAGGTTTCCATCTAAAATTTTTTGGTGGGGGGCACAACAGGTTTTTAAAGTGTTATGTCCAGTCCTGGTTATCACCTGAAATACTGCAGTTATTTCAAGAGGTAATTAAAACATTCCTAGTGCCTTTCCCAGTTTCTTTCTGGAAAGGTAAAAAAGACTGGGAATAAACCACTTGGAAGAACCCAGGGGACCGGGCCCTGAGGCAGGGAGGACGTGTGTGGAATGTTGAACTCCAAAGTGATGTTATTGAAATGTATTTTTATTCTCAGTGGTCAGATGAACAGTGTGCGCCCCAAGTCATGTCTACAGAGTTCCAGTGTTCACAGACCTATCGCCACTTGAAAGAGAATTTGTATGAGAAGATCATAGAATACTTTGACAAAGGAAAGGTAGGGCTGTAGAGGTCTTCCCCCTGCCAGATCTCTTTCTGCTGTGTTACTTTGTATAGTCGTATTTAGTTAATATTCTCTGTATAAAATTTTTGTGCAGGAAATTTTCTTTGAAATATGGGGTAAGTAAAAAATGTGTCCTGAAGGCTTATTCACAGAGTGTATCTGTCCTATATTATTCTTTCAGTAACCACATTCAGAAAGAAAGAGGGCTAATGTTTGTACTCGTCACAAGCATCTCTGTTGGGCAGTAATAAAATAATAAAAAATGTTGAATGTACTTTCCTTTACTAGGAAAAGAATACGGACTACACAAATTGGATTTCTAAACCCATTACCTCCCCAAACATCAGACTGTTCAAAGTGGACATAATTGTTTCAGAGAAGTCTGAGAATTGCATCCCAGATTTAAAATGTAGCAGTTTCATGTTCAGCACCTGGGTTTAATTCAGGGTTGTTTTTTTTTAAATCTGTTCATGAAATTGCCTTTCAATACAATGATAGTAGAGCTGAGATTTTTTGGAAGCTAAGCAAAGGATTAGAAAGCAGGGAAAAGAGCCACAAGGATGGTGAGGGGTCTGGAGAACAAGCTTTATGAGGAGCGGCTGAGGGGACTGGGGTTGTTTAGCCTGGAGAAGAGAAGGCTGAGGGGAGACCTCATCACCACCTACAACTGCCTCAAGGGAGCTTGTAGAGAGGTGGGTGCTGGTCTCTTCTCCCAGGTGATGGAGGATAGAACAAGGGGAAACGGCACCAAGCTGTGCCAAGGGAGGTTCAGGTTAGAGATAAGGAGGAAGTTCTTTACTGAGAGGGTCGTCAGAAGCTGGAACAGGCTGCCCAGGGAGGTGGTGGAGTCACCATCCCTGGATGTGTTTAAAGAGCGGGTGGATGAGGTACTTAAGGATATGGTTTAGTGGGTAGACAGGAGCAGTTGGACGTGATGATCTCAGAGGTCTTTTCCAACCGAGCGATTCTGTGATTCTGTGAAAAATTCTGCAGTGCTGGATAATGAATTTTATGACCGAGTAAAACCTTTAAGTCATTATGTCTTGTTCAGCTGTAGCCAATGGTATGAAGGGAGAAGGCAATTCATTGCTTCTCACAAAATAAAGGTATAACTCCCCCATGAAAATCCATCGTATAATTCAGAAGGTAGAAAGTTCTTGGTGCTTTAGCACTGTGCAGGAAAATGCATTGCTCTTTATAACTTCTGAGGTTTTTTTGTTGGCATCTGAAACAACTACAGTGTAGCAGTCCCCACCCACTGTGTTGGAATAATTAAATCCTCGTGCTTTCTGACACTCCTGGCATTCAGGTTCCTCTCAGACACATCAGAGGAGGCTTGCAGGCAGCTGAGTGCAGTTGTCAGGTTAAAAACTACCTGGTGTAGGAGTACATGGCACCATGTCAAAATGGTCGTAATGCACGTGGCCACCAGTGTCCTTAATCAGTAGAGAATTAAGTTCAGAAAACCCCTTTTGTCTCCTTTATTCTGAAGAGATGAGAAGACAGAATTTGAGAAATATCCTCAAGAGAAAGAGTTTCTGTTTGCTTTAAGACCACTTTTGTGCTGTATACATTAAGTGCCTACAGCAGAAGATAAGAACTATCATAGTCTTTCTGATGCAGCTCTGTAATTCCTCCAAGTAGTTTTTGGAGGTAGCTACGTGGAAAGAACCAAGCTGCTACTCTGGGCAAGTGGTAATTTAAGTCCTTTAATTTTTTATGCAAAGCTACCTGTAGTTACGTATGCTTCAGAATTTCTTGTAAAATGAAGTGTGTTTGTTTTAGAGAGGCAGGTGTCAGTGCCCTTATGCCCTGCTCCTGTGCTTGAGGTATAATCTGGATGTTATGCACCTTGGTGATTTACTTGTCATTTTTTAAAATGTATCTGAAAGTTTAGGTGCTTTTTCATGATCTTAATGCAAGAATAAAGTAGGTTTACTTATTCTTTCCTATAATGAACTATAAAACACTTTTATTTTTTACATTAATCTGCTTTCCTGAAGTTTGCGACTGCCTTGCGTCTTCCATTCTAAACGCGCTCTTAATAAATGACTGCAATTCAAAGACAGCATAATCAATAAAACTGTAGTTAAACAATGATGCATGGAAAACTTCTTTGTTGGTACTGGGTTTACTCTTTGAACGTGTGGTTACATTGCAGATGTGGGAAGAAGCCATATCTTTATGCAAAGAACTTGCAGAGCAGTATGAAAAGGAAGTTTTTGACTATGAACTTCTAAGCCAAAACCTGGTAAGATTCTATACAGATCCTCGAATTATTTCAGTCACACAAATTAGTACTTTTGAGCTATCAGATTATAGAGCTGCTTATGAGCTTGTCTACAATTGATTTTTAATTCATTTGTCTAAGAGTTACTGTGTTGTATTGTAATGATCCAGCGGTAAAGTAGAGATTCATAAAGAACTGTTTGTTGAGTTACATGGACATCTGCTCATTGAGATACTTTGCAGCTTCTATAGATGAAAGAAACATGTTCTCACTTAGTGCAATTTGAAGGCCACCTGTAAAAGAAATAGAATAGGTTTTTGAGGCCCCTGTACTGCTTTAAGGTGGAAACGGCACCTGGATGCATTTTTTCCCCTGAAATTGTTCTTAAAATTTTAGGAACCTGAACTTGACAAGCCTAAAGAAATCTGTCCTAATCAGGGACTGGGGAAGTAATATATCACAAGGAATTAAAACTAGGTCCAAAGACTAGAAGGAAGATTTTAAAGGAAGGTTAAATGTTCCATTATATATTTTAATTACAATTTAATTAATTTAAAAAGAGCCCCCTCCTCCACATACCTTCTTTTTTTTTCCATCCCCCCAGATTCCACACTTGCATAATCTTTATCAAATGGTTAGGTCATATTCAACAGATATCCCAGAACCTTCCACAGAGAAACCATGGGAATGAAAACATGATGTTCTTGAATAGTGTTGTGTATAAAGAAAGCTGCGTTTCCTCCCAGTCAATTCTGCTTTTATCATAAACTAAAAAGTAAAGACAGTATTTTTGCCAGTTCCATTTAAGTTGCAGTGCTGCATGTCTCGTAGGCTTAACACAGGAAATGGAAGTAGTAAACCTGAATGACATTAGCATTGTATGGAAGATATTGTTCAGAGCCCTTCACATGGTGTGTGCCCTTTGCATGATGGCAGGGCAAACGCCCGAGTTGATCCATACCTCGGAAACATCTGAGGCAAGGAGTTTTTCCAAATGCATTATTTCAGTAAAGTTATCAGTTGAGTGTTTACAGTATAAAGTGCCAAGTATTAATTTGGTGTTTGCTTATTTTCTTTTCACACTAGTAAATTAAGGGCAGGCCTGATTCTGAGGTCGAATAATCGAAGCTGACACAATACACATTTAGCTATTTATTATATTTGCATATAAATGTAAACAACATTTAATGCACCACAGCATACTAATTGATTGTTGCTATAGCTCACTAACTGATAATTGATAGCTCTTGCATATCTCCTGTAGTACTTAGTGTAGTACTACTATAGAGGTTAAAAATAAATGGAAAACCATAAAACAATGAGAAGTAATTGCAGTTGGTTTTGCTTTCAGATTCAACAAGCAAAGTTCTATGAAAACATCATGAAAATTCTGAGACCTAAACCAGACTATTTTGCTGTTGGGTATTATGGCCAAGGATTCCCCACATTTCTAAGGGTAAACTTGTTTAAATTCTTACTTTTTTACTCTATTTTTTGTATGCCTCTAAGAATACGAGTTTAGTCTACTAATGCAAGTGTGTAGCTGGGGATGTTTGCCATGGATTTACTTTTGCTTGGATGCAAGACTGTAGACAGACACTGAATTGCTGCTTGTAAGAAAATGCATTAAATGTTTAAGTTGATTCTTTCTCTTGGTTTGATTGTGGAAACTAGAAGATGTATCAGGTAATGAAGGTGATCTGTGAGGTGCAAACGCAGCAGTATTATGTGATGTTATAGGCAGCTCTTACAGTACATATTTCTAGGATGAGTTCCTAAACAGGTTATGAAAACTAGTAAAATGTCATTAACTAACTTGTGTTCAAATTAAATTGCCAGAATTCTGTTTCACATGAGCTTGGTATTTTTAGCAGACCATGCCATGGACTGACAAGAGTTTCAGATTTATATTGCCTCTCAGCTACAATTAAAATACATTACAGATGTTGAAACAGTGTATTTTTCAGACCAATGCATTCCGTAGCCCAATATTATGTCTTTAACAGGGGGCAATAGTAGATAAGTAGTGTAGGAAGGAATATCATATAAAGCAGGTGTGTAGTGATACGGACCTGGTGTATATTCCCTACTTCCTGGGTTGGAGGTGACACTTCTGTTTTCCAGCCCTTACTGGATTGTTCTACAGTGGATGTGTCCAGTTGCTTTCTGAACTGATGCCCTCCAGAACATGCTGTGGCCACACGGTGCACAACTGTGTGCTGGATATTTACTGCTGCCCTTTTTGTTGTCATCTGATTTCTCTACACCAGTTCTTATAGAGAAACCAAACAGTTATTCTTTAATCACCTTCCTCATGCCATTCATGACAGTCTTGGTTTGTTTAAACACTACTTCCACACCAACCATTCCGTATGTTTTAGCATCCTGGTTCCCTTGCTATTTTCTAGTTCATGAGATGGTAGGACAAGAAGTGTACATAATATTTGAAATGTGGACACACTATGAATTTGTTCAGTGTGATACCTCTTCTGTTTCCCTGTTTTCCTCATAATGCCTGAAGTTCAGATTGGTCTTTTGATCTCTAATATGTGTTGAACTGATGGTTCATACCAACTGGCTTGTATTACTCCGAGTGTTTTCCTGAATGGCAACAGCTAGTTGGTATCTTAGGACAATTAGGGTAAGCTTGAGCTGTTTTGATTAAACAGACGTCTATGTGCCAAATCTACTCTCTCATTTCTTGCTTTTCTCCCTTTTTTTTTTCCTAATGTGAGAAATTAAGAATCCAGAGGGTGTTTATTCAAGAAACCTGCCAAACTTAGGAAGTCATCCACAATCGGCTTTTACTTTCATTTTTTAAAAGATCACCGCTTTCATTTAACAACAGTAATGCATGTCTCCAGAGCATAAAACTAACCTCAATATTTGATGTTTTCTTGTAGAAAAAGAATTTCTTACATACTACAGGTGAAATAGTAGCTTTCCTTACACTTGAAAAGCAATGAAATTTCACTCTT